TTTTTTTTTTTTTTTTTTTTTTAGTTATGTTTAGGAACACAGAAAATTCACTTAAATTACACTGTTTGAGACTTGAGATGTGACTTCTGGTAATTTTTATAAATTCTGGTCTGTATTGGACTGATTTTATCCAGAAGACAAAACACGGACAGATTAAGAAGTTTTGCCAAATTTCTGACCAAATGTACACCTGTTTGGTTAAAATATGCCTTGTATTATGCATTAGGAGTGGAACGTTACAGTGCATGTGCTGTGCCAACGCTATGAATGTACATACCTTATTTAGCACACTTAGGGGTCCTGGGTGCCATATTCATATGTGGATAACTTTTATGAGTGTAAATGATGGTAGGAACTTAGGCATGGGCTACATTACAAAATGTTGTTGGCATAAGGGTGTGAAAAGATCACTGTCAGTAGCTGATGAAGCTCTGTCAGAAAAACCTTGGCTGGACACACCTATGTTGACAGAAGAGAGCTTTTATTAGCATGGTTTTATATCACATGGGTGGCATCCCACAAAGCAGCAGAAACTCCCTTCTGCCCCCATACACCAAGGGGCGGTGGTGGCAGAGCTATGGCAGGTGCAGTACTGAAATGTAGACCAGTTCTTAGCATGTAATGAAATGTTTTGCATTAGAGCAGAATGACCAGATTTCATTCATGAAGTCCATTTTTCTTTTTCTGCTACCCTGTTATTTGTTGTATCATCTTGGCTAAAAAGCTTTCTGTTTTTTCCATTTTTAGTTACCGAGATGTTCACTTATAGGCTGCTAGTTTCAGTCCAACTCAGGTCTGTGGTTATCAGACATTGATACCACTGAGTTGCCAATAAATGCCTTCTGAAATTAGGTTTTGGGTCTGAGTCCTCTCCCTGCAATCTCAGCCCAAATGTAGGATGTTGAAGAGGTACGGGAGGAGAAGCCTTTCTTCAATTCAGACCTTTGCCTCAGTGGTATAAGGTCTCTTGCACTCTTCCATTGCCAGTTCTGTACCTCCTTCAGTCAGCCTTCAGAGGAGTCTATCTGAACCAAAACTATAACAACTTGTCACCTTTTCTAATTGTCACTTCAAAACCATTCTTCTCCCAGTGGTGTTCATTGCTAACTTTCACATGCTGTCATGTGGAGGTGTAAATAGTATTACAGTGTATGTGGATGCAGCATTAATGCATGATCCTATAGCCTGTGAAACTAAAGCTAATTTAGGTGGGGGTATGTTTTTCTGTCCCTAGGAGCTGCTTTTGCTGAGCCCTGGCAAAGCTGCAGACCTGATCACCACTCACTTCAATGATCAGCTTGAGGGGATCATTAACAACCTTCAGGTAAAGATGCTCCAACAGGTGTTGGGTTGAACTGTGTTGTGCTGTAATTGTATTATGTTTCTCTCTTGGGTTAGCCATATGCATAGGAATCTCCAGAGCAGATCAGATGGCAGAACCTCCTAGTCCAGCATCCTGTCAGGCAATGCCCAGAACCAGTGAGTTGCCCAAAATGGGTTGCTTTGGAATAACTCACACCTTGGGAAAATTTCTTTCTCCTTTTGCTGCATGTTAGCACATGGCTTGATGTAGGCCATCCAGATCCTTACTACTACAGTTCTTGATGTTCTTCTTCCATAAATACACAGCAAGAAGTCCCTGGCTCTGGTTCCTCCTGACACAGTCCCTGCAGAGACATGCTGGAGGGAGGTGGTAGAGGGTGGAGTTGGGATTGTTTCTTGCCATTCATTCATTGAAACCTGCCAAGAAGCTTTAATTGGCAGAAGGGGACGTGTGTGTCCTTCTAACTGAACACTGTATAGACTCTCATTTCTTATCTATCCTGCAGCTGGCTGGGATACAAAACCATTTTTGTTGTGGCTTTCTTCATTTTCTCCATTTAAATTTTTTTTTTTTGTGATGCCTACAAAAATTGTACATAATTTCACCATTCAATTGTCCTGGGTTGGTTGGTTGGTGTTACTTTTTTGATAGATTGTTTGTTAGGTGGTTTCAGCACCTTCTTTTGTGCTTATCTTGGGTTTGAGTTGCCCAAAGCTTTGTCCCTTTTGGCTGATCCAGCAAATAAGATGGATTTAGGAAGCATTCCCCATTTTGGAACGCATTTGGTTGTCTGACTGGATATGAGGCTGTGAGGTCACCTGGGTGAATCCATTTCCTGCCATGTGCGCCTGTTCCACTAGCACCCAAATCCCTTCCATAACTTCCCTGCATAACATCTGTAGGTGACATCTGCAGGGCAGCCATCAGGAGTCCTATTTATGCCTTTACATCCTTGTGGAAGCCTCCAGGGTAGATGGTGCACTTTGCCGAGTAGTCCTACAGTTCCTATTCATCTAGGGGACTTGGATGCCCGCCTCCAGGTATGTGGGCACTACTTTGGAGTCACCCACAAGAGCGAATGTGGATGGGGACCATTTCACAAAAGAGAAAATAAAATTATATGCCAGTAACCAGAGTTCTTGTGAGATGCATTGGTCTCAAAAACATTTGAACTGCCGTCTATCCTCTGTCACAATAAAATATGGGACTCTGCAGCTAAGAGGAAGCAGGGGAGCTGGAAATGCACACTGCCGCTCTATCCCCTGGGAGCAGGGATGGAAGACAGACAGGCAGTGTCCACAGGCACTGCTAAGGCAAAAAGCCTGTGAACAAAGCTCACGGGCCTGAGAGAGAATGTGTATGTAGATGATGCATGTTAAAGAACTCCAGTTACTGGCAAGTTTGCATTTCTTTGTTTGATGGGGCAGCTCTGGGGTTTCTGAGACAGGATGGCTTGTAGAGGTCACAACACCAATTAGACACCAGAGAGTGAGCACAGGGTGGAGATGGTCTTTCAACAAGTGACACTGGTGAAAAATCTGTGGTCAGGAAGAATCACAGACGACCAGTCTCTCCATGGGAATTGGTCCCATCAGAATTAATTGTAGTTCCTTCAGAAGCTACCATGTAAAAATTGCTCTGAACTACAACATAGTGTTTAAATATTAATCCTTGTTTGTTTTCCTCACTCTGTAGGACCAGTTCTTGCTTTTCCAGTTTTTGAGGAGTCTTCTTGACCCAAGGTGTGTAAGTAAATTGAGCCATTTGTAAATCAAGAATAGCTCAAAACGCTGGTTATATTGATCTTAAACAACATATAAGCCTACAGCCTTGCAGCCTGTACTTGGCCCAACCCTGCCTTTTCAGGGAATAAAGCAATGTCCCTTTTGGAACCTTCCACAGGTTGAAGGCCTGGGCCCCAGAAGAGAATCCACATCCTGCTGGTGACATTTGGGCCAGAAAGGCTCGTGTATGGTTTCCATAAAGAGATGGGCCAGCTGGGAATGAACTGTGGTTGAGTTGATGACTCTGTGATCCTTTTTTACCTGCTTTGGATTGCATACCTGAGTTGCTCTCAGGCAGTCTTTCTCAACCCATGGGTTGTGACCCAAAAATGGGTCACAAGAATATATGAAAGGGTTGTGAACAAACTTTAAAAATGGATTCTCCTTTAAAGGAGTAAAATGCTGGAAACTGCAGGTTTCTCCTTGCAGGCTGGCAGAGTTCTGGCCTACAAAGGGCTGCTTGGGGCTAGGGGGAGTGGGAGGAGGGCTGGGGGGTGGCATAAACTATGCATCGAGGGGCAGGAGGGCACAGGTGACATGTCAGTGCAGTATGGCAGAGGCACGTGCCCCCTCATATATTTGTGCACGTACAGCGGGTATGGGGTTGCAGCCTGCCTGGACTGGTGTGGGCAGAAGCCTCCTCTGCAGCCCAACAGGCGGGACCCAGCATGGAAGGGCAGAGCATGCCAGTGAGACTTGTTGCTTTCAACATTGCTGGGGCCCCTGCACCAGCCGCATTGCCAGCAACACGAGAAGTAACGATGGGGTTGGGAGAGAGCCATGCTGCCCTCTCCTCCTCCCACTGCCAGGTGCTCATCCTCTAGCCTGCCACCGTGGCACAGCCACTGCTGCCACTCCCCTTAGGCCGCAGCTGTACCCCAGAGGGGATGTGGGGTGGTGGGCAGTGTGGGTGGTCTGAAGGGATTGGTGGTGGAGGTGGTGGTGGCTGGGCCATGGCAGTGGGTAGAGCCACAACCCAATGTGCAAGCGGCTGGCAGAGGGACAAGATGAGGACAGCATGGCTCCTCCGACTGTTACGCCTAACGTGGTTGGTGGCACAGCTGGCGCAGGGGTCCCAGTGGTGGTGGCAGCAACAAGTCTCGCTCCCCCGCTCTGCCCCCCCTGTGCTGGGTCCTGCACACAGGGCCGCAGAGGTGGCTCTTGCTCATGCCAGTCTGGCCAGGTTGCAGCTCTGTGCCTGCTGTGGGTGTACAAATATGGGGGGTATGTGCCCCCCCATGCTCCCCCCTCCCCCCCCACCTCTTGCCTCACACTGGGGGCTGAGGACTGGGGGTGGGGGCAGTGGGTTGGGAATGAGAGGCACTGGCGGGGCAGGGGGCTGTTTTCTATATAAACTATTTACTGGTTCAGGACTCGTCGTTTACAAATGGGTCCTGGCACAAAAAAGGCTGAGAACCACAGCTCAAGGGACTGCACAAGGAGGGCTGTGAGATGATCTCTGTCTGCCTGAGCTTCTGTACCTCTTGTGTGAACGCTGCCAGTTTGCCTGTATTTTTATTTAGGGGCTCAGAACTGCGCACATAGTCCTTTATGTGGTCGCACCAAGAGCCCAGTAGAAAAATGCTTATTTCCTCGCCTCTTGTTAAACTGCCTTTTTGTTACAGCCCCAAAATGCTGCCATATTCCATTGCAGCTCCCTCTCTCTGCTGAGGTTTGTCTTCTTTTTTCCGCTCAGCATTGCTGTTACCAGGTGTCTCCCTCCAATTGAATATTCATTTCAAGTGCTACATGTTGTTTTTTTGGGGTTTTTTTCTTTCTTGCAAGACATTTATGTGGTACTCAAGATGCCTTCCAGCAAGTGCTAATGTAACTTATTTTCTTCTGGAGAGTGGAGCTCGAGAGCTCAACCGTTTAATGATTCGTGCTTCGCTGGAAGAGAAACAGGGATGAGGGAGGGGGAAGGAGGCATACATTTAAATTCCCAGCGTTGCCAGCATCCCTCTGGGGATAGCTAAGCATTCCCTGAGTAGTATCAAGTGTTATGTTATGAAAGGCAAACGGGAAGGTTGGGTTTTGATAGGACGTTAATTGGATTTTTCAGAGTTAGCTCTTACTCCTACTTCTAAAGGTTTCAGCAAATGTGCAGTCCTGGTCAGTGAGCCTGTCTGCATGCCCTTTGCATTTAGCTTGCAGTTAGAATAATAGAAAATGAGGGTTGAAAGGGATGTCAGGAGGTCACATCTAGTCCAACTCCCTGCTCAAAGCAGGACCAGCTCCACCTATATTATCTCAGCCAAGGCTTTGTCTGGCCAGGTCTTAACCTCCAAGGATGGAGTTTCCACAGCCTCTCTAGGTAACCTGTTTCAGAGCTTCATTACCCTCCCAACTGATAAACTGTTTGAGCACTTATGATGAACATAGCGGAAGGGGACTCATGGGCACTGGTGCAGACCACTGCATCCACTCTTAACCATCTATTTAAGGATTCCATAAAATTGCCACTTCAAACCCTAGCCCATAACTACAAGGCCTGTAACTACAGAAACACCGTGCCAGCATGCCATAGGTAAAAGCAGGGGGAGAGGAGGCTACTGTCAGTGCCCTAGCCCCGCAACAACAGAAGTAATTGGTTAATACCTGCTTAGACTAGGGATGGCCAACCTATGGGTGCCAAAGGTAGCATGGGTAGCCTGTGTGGGGCACATGGTGGATCAGGAAGGGGACAGGCAGCACAGTGGCATATAAAGCAAGAAGCAGAAAACAGTGGCAAATTGGGTAGGGAGTACAGGGAAGGAAGCAGAGAGCAAAGCAGCCAGGGAGTACATGGCTGGAAGGAGAAAGAGCAGCAGATCAGGCAGGGGAAGGGGATTGGAGTGGCACTTGGGGAGAGTGCAGGCCTAATTTGTGGCACATCTGCCAAAAAGGTTGGCCCTTACTGGCTTAGACAATCCTAGGAAAAGGACTGTGCCCCATACCACAAAGGAAAACAGATATCCCTCATCCTTCATTCTGATCTGGCCTAAGGGAAAAATTCTTTCTTGATACCAGATTTGGTGACCTGTATGACTTCTGAGCTTTCTACGCATGAATGGGAGCATGTGTGCACCCAGCCAAAACTGTCAGCTCGAGTGAATGCTTCACAGGAAGGTGGAAAGCCAAGCTCCCTTTCTTTTGTAAGACAAGGTCTCCATGCCCTTGGCCAATGTAGGGACCCTTCTTTGTACCTCTTCCAATTTAAATGCATCTTCTTTGAACATGGGTGCCCAGAACTCCAGGCAAGTATTTAGTACGTGTCTCTACTGAATATGCTCATCCTCCCCCCAGTACACCCTAGAATTGTATTAGTCTCTTTTATAGCTGTATCACATTGTCAGCTCATGGTCTTCTTACAGCTGACCAGTGCACTCAGGTACTTAACCTTCCTCAGTTCTCTCTAATGCACGTGCCCATGATTTATAGCCAGAGCCCGTGTTGGTTCCTCAGTACATAGCTTAGTATTAAACTACCTAGAGAGGTTACTTAAAAGAAGTGGTGTGTGTTTGCAATAGAAACATTGGAATGCAATGGAGGTGGTGGACGTCCTATCCTTGGAGGCTTTTAAGGCCTGGCTGGACAAAGCCCTGGCTGGAATGATCTAGTTGGAACTGGTCCTGCTTTGAGCAGTGGGTTGGACTAGATGTGACCTCTGGAGGTCTCTTCCAACCCTCACTATCTATGATTCTTTGCAGGACTTTTTCTTGTTTGGATCCTATTGCTAGGAAGCCAGTTGTCAAATAGGTGCTGCTGCAGCTTAGTTTTGTGTGTGGCTGCATTGTTTATCTTACTATATTGCTACTAGAGCATTGTGACAAACGAAACAGTGAGGCAAGACATCAGCTTGGGTGTGAATTTTTTTCTCCTCCCCAGGAAGAGGTTTCATAAATCTCCAGGTAACAAACTGATTCAACTCTGCCCTGAAATAATTAGGAAGTGACTGCTTCCCCTGTCGTCTGTCATATGGAAACATATTACGCCCTCTGCTCAGTTCATCACCAGGAAGGCCCTTGTAGTAGCAGAAATATCCACTTTGTAAATCTGACCTAACAAAATATCTCCCCTTTGTGTGCAGGGCTGACATTCAGCAAGCTACGTCAGGCCACGCAGCTTGTTCTCTCTCACCATCTGCCCTTCAGCAAGGTTCACATGATTGTTAATATGTGTAGCCATGTTGCAAAGCTCATTAATTCTTCCTGGGCTGTAGCAGGATGCTTTGGCATCCCGAATCATAACAGTAAATAAAAAAAAAAAAAAAAAATCTGTCTGGATTGCACATATCAACATGATCACAAAGCAAAGGCTAGGCAGGACTTTAGACAGATTGCAATCTAAAGGACTCAACTAAATGTATGGTTGCAGAGCAAAGGATGAGACCCGAATTGCTGGGATTCTGCTTTGCTGAAATCATTCCCTGACCCATGTTGTTCTTAAAATTCTCTGAAGAGATCTTAGGTGTTTTGGAGTTACAATAGTTCCATAATTCATAATGCTTAAGCTTGCACCAGCTCTATTTTGTTGCCAGTATAATGGTATGTGTAACAAGGAGTACTTCAGCATACTGTTTCCACTTGAAAAGTAGTGGAACTCCTCCATACTAGTCTGTGAACTATTTTGTATTTATTACCGAAGGCTTAATCTCACTTATGTCTTGTGGCAACAGAAGACTTGTGAATATCCACAGTAAATACATGAGAAGAAAAAAAAGCATAATTCTAAAAATGCACAGATTTTACAACATGTCAGAATGAAGAACTATGATTCAGGTCCTTCCAGAAACATCTGTCTCTCTCCAGTCAATCTGAATGTTTATATCCTCTTCCAGGCTGTTTTTTTTTATTAAAATGGAGGAAGAAATGAGTTTAATGTCCCAAATACAAATGATTTCCTGACAGCCGAGGGGGCCAGGTTCATCCCTTTGGTGTAACAACACTAAATGAGTAGAGCTACATCAGAGATTAATC